AGGCACTTACGTGGAACAGGGGTATCTGCATTTCCCATGGATGGAACACAGATGGAAAGAAAAGACAAGAGATAGACCCAAGGGGGGGCGGAAAAAACAGATGTAAAAGAAATGACTAGGATCGCAGAACACAGGGCACTGGAAATTCAAATTATCAAATTATTTCACATCCAGAAAGAAGCAATTCCTGTGGGAGGAAGATAAGACAGGCTTTCTACTTTTTGGAAGAGTAAGGGGATCTCTTTCCAGGTCCCCAGTTTCAAAGAGAAGACAGCAAAGATCCCCGTCTGCTTTATAATTCCAGGAGTCAGCAGCCTGGGCCTCTGGGACCACTTGTGGAGTCTGTTCTCCACGGGGTCTCCTGCTCCTCCCAGGGCGGGCCTGTGGAAGGCTACCTAGAGCAGGGCTTGCCCCAGAGCTGGCTGTCCTGGGGGACGAGCGAAAGGAGGGCAGGCAGAGTGAGGGAAAGTGGGGATGACAGAGGGAAACAGAAATGCATCCCTGAATGGAACCGGGAAGAAGCGACTGGAAGTGTGAGAGGGAGGGAGACCCTGAGGTGCGTTCCTGGTGTGGGAAGGGAGGGGGAGCCAAAAGTCAAAGGCCTCCGCATCCTTTTCCCTTTGCTTTGCTGGGATTATGCCTCCGCTCCTCCTCCATCCCCAGCACCCCCTGCTTTTCTCTACGTTAATATCTCTGCTGCATCAACAGTCCCACAGCTCATTATGGGAACTGTCACTGTCGTTACCCTCATCCTTCAATCACAGGTGCTGAGGGCCTTTGTGACCTGTGTCAAAAAGCAAATCCCCAACCCCCCACTGCACACGCCCTCTAACAACCCCGGCTGTCAGTCTATGACAGTGTCACCAAGACCCCGAGAAAGAGGATAAAGGGACTGGGTGTCAGTCATCACTGAGGGCCAGAGAGCGGGGAGGTGGGGCCACCTCCAGCAGAGGCATCTGAAAGACAAAAGGCTGTCATCTGAACAATGGGTGGCCAGCTCAGGGTCCCCCAAGGCCCCCAGAAGAAGGGGAGCGGGGGAGAGGCAGGGCAGCTGGCTCTACTTACGGACTGGCTGCGTCTTGAACTCGGAGGCTGCGCTGATCTCGCCCAGACCCTTGCCGTTGAGGGCTGCCAGTCGCACTGTGTACGTCGTCTCAGGCTTCAGGCCCATGATGGTGACGATGCCTTCCATGCTGGCTGTTGAGAGAACATGGAAAGGATCACAAATGATAAGAAGCCTATCGGTGAAATGGTGCAGCCGCTGTAGGAAACACTATGGTGGGTCGTCAAAAAATTAAACACAGAATTATCACTGGATCCAGCAATTCTACTTCTAGGACTACACACAGAAGGATTGAAGCAGAGACCTGGGCAGATATCTACACACCCACGCTCACAGCATTGCTCACAGGAGCCAAAAGGTGGGGGCACCCAGGTGTTCCCGGACACATGAATGGAAAAATAAAATGTGGTGCACACGTACGATGGAACATTATTCAGCTTTAAAAAGGAGGAAAATTCTGACATGTACTACATAAATGAACCTCAAGGACATGATGCTACGTGAAATGAACCAGACACAAAAGGATAAATACTGTATGATTCCACTTACACGAAGTACCTAGGAGAGTCAACTACAGAGAGACAGAAAGGGGAGCGGTGGCTGCCTGGAGCTGGGCAGGAGGGGAGGGGAGTTAGTGTTTCATGGGTAGAGTTTGGGATGATAAAGCTCTGGAGATGGACCCTGGTGATGGTTGCACAACAACGAGACTGGACTTAATGCCACTGAACTGTACCCTTAAAATGGTACATTTTATGTTGTATATGTTTTACTACAATAACACATAACTACATGCGGAGCAGGGTGGACTGGCCTCGCCAGGTTGTCACACCGAAGCAGGGCTTCTGGGTGGCAGGTGGTTGGGATGGCCCCTCCATCCTGCAGGGTCACAGGAACCAGGTTCTGAAGTGCCAGGGTACAGAGGCCAACAAGTCTACGTGAGACGTGACCGTTCGATGTTGCAGCATAGGGACATGAACGGATGGCAGGTGACAGCTCCTGGCCACCCCCAGTAGGTGAGAGTGGTGTGCTACCCTACCCTGTGGGCAGTCAGGGTGTCCGGATCTGGTGAAGGCAGGGGTGAATGTGTGCCCAGAACCAAGGGACTCCTCATTCTGAAGGAAACAGACTTTTCCAGACTCACCTTCCTTGGCATCGTACCACTTGGAGTGCCACATTTCCTCGCCCACTGCTTTCCACTCAGCCTTGTATTTGAGGATGGGCACCCCACCTGTGGCCTCGGGCTCATCAAACTGCACCTGTGCTGTGCTCGAATATGGCTCTACCTGGTCGATGGATGGTGAGGATGGGGTGTCTGTGGGGAGAACACAGGTGAAGGCCCAAGTGAGCTTCAGGCTGGACACAATTCGCAATTACGTCTTTGCGGTTTCTGCTCAGTCTTGAAGTCTTGTTGCCTGTATCCTATCCTCCCTGCCCGCCTCCCCACACGATTCTCTCCCCACATGCTCCATGCCCCGATCCTCAAGTCTCCATCGCTCCCTGCTTCCTCCTCAGGCTTTGCTGACCTGGGGCCTCTCTTCTCACTTTCCTGGCACCACTCAAGGACACCAAATGGGCCAGCAAGGGTTTTAAAAAGGGGGTGCAGCCGTAAGGGGTGCTCACCTGCTTGGACAAGGATGAATTCCAGAGACTCCTGTCCAATGCGGTTCACTGCGGTGCAGTTGTAGTTTCCAAAATCATTTTCCGAGTCCGGGGTCACCTTGAGAGAGAAGGAGCTCTTGGTTTACATGCCCATGGGATGGTTACAGCCTCAGGCCCTTATTTATTGGATTAAATTAGCAAAAAAATAGAAGTAGTAAAGCAAAGCAGGAATCATTGGCTCCACCCAAGCCTTAAGCCAGAGAGGAGAACAGAGAAGGGGCTGTGGAAGAAGACACTCTGTCTTCCAGGCCCTGGGGTTGCCCAGGAGACACAGGGGCGGGGCTGAAGCCCGAGTTCTTCTCCAGCTGATGGCTCCCAGCTCAGGACATGCCAGAGAAGCAAGAAGGATTTTAGCGGCATTCAGGAGCCCATCTATAGTCAAACTGCCTTTTCCACCCTGCCGCTGGCCCGTGTCCCGCTCACCTCCAGGTAGCTGGCAGAGGGGCTGTTGTAGATCTTGATGTTGCTGTAGTTGGAGCTTGGCAGCAGCTGACCATCTCGGAACCACGAGATTGTGGCACTGGGGTAGGCAAACACCTCGCAGGTGATGTTCACCTGGTTCCCCTCCCAGGTGTACACAGCCACGGGGCCCTGCAGCTTGGGGGCATCTGCAACGAGTGGCAATGACTGTCAGGAAGCCTGCCACTGTCATGGAGCCCTACAGATGCTGTCTCCTGGCACTGGGAGCGGGGTGTGCCCTGAACCAAGCTATGCCAGGGTATAGTAGAGGTCGGGGCTGTTCTGGCAATCCTGTGAGCTGACGGGAAGACAGAGGGCATGCAGCGGGTAAGAAGCCTGGGGATGGTGTGAGGAGGTGACCTGGGGACCCAGAGAAAGTGATTGAAGCTTGCCAGCTGCAGGTCCTAGCTGCTCTTTTCCCCGTCCATCCCAACCGTCCACGGCCCCTCCCTCCCAGTCTTTCCACAGTTATTCCTCACATTGCACTTCAAGGTACATGGACTGGGAGTCCTGGCCGATAGTGTTGCTGGCGGTGCAGATGTACTCTCCAGCGTCTGTGTACTGGATGCTCTTCAGGGTCAGGGAGGACACGCGGGCGTGGCTGCGCACCACCATGTGCCCATCCAGAGTCTGCCGGGAGGGAACAGGGAGTGTCAGAGCCCAGGGCAGGATGGGGGCTAGGAGACCAGGCCATCACTTGTGTGACCAGTCTCACACCCTGTCCTCTCTCTGCCAGTGTCTAAGTCTCACTTTAGGTTCCAACTAGGGGGAGAGGCTGCAGAGAGCACCATGGGAACTTGGGTGTACCCCAAACAGAGATGGACTCAGTTTATGTCAAGCAGCCTAGCTGTGTGCCAAGACTGTGTGGCTCAAGGTCCCGATTTGTTTGGCACGTCTCAAATGGAAGCAAAGCCCTGAGCAGCAGATACTCCAGCAGAAACAGCCTTGCCTCATGGGATTCTGGGAAACCTGTACTCCCCTCCTTCCCTCCCAGCAGTCCACCCATCTGCCAGTGCCACAATGCGTGCACACTGGATGGGAAATCCGAGAGTTCCAAAATGCAAGAAGTTCTATAAGAAACCCATATTTATGCAGATGCCTCACTTTCCTGGATGCTTAAAAGTAAAATTATTTTATTTTTTTAAAAAGCCCAACAACTCAGAAGTCAGGAGCTGCTGAGCTGGAAGGAAGGGTAACTGGGTACCCTCTCCAGGGACAGTGGTACAGAGAGTCCCAGGTAGATCTGGGGCCCTTAACCCCATAGTCACCACCATTTTTTAGCCCTTGGTACTATAATCAGCTTTCCGAGTCTTCGGAATTACTGGTCAAAAAGGAAATAAGCACATGATCCCCAGGCAATGGGTCCTGGAATATCTCCCAGGGTGTCCCCCCTTGACACTCTAGGTGAATGGTTCCTGGTCTAGGAAATGTCTGGGCATTTGCCCAAGTTCAGATCCTCCAGAAGGTGGGTAATCTAAAGGAGTCTTACTCTTCAGAGGCTGGGCCACACTCTTATCTCTAGCATGCAGTATTCTGTAGAGATGGATAGGTGAGTGGTCTGCATTTGTATGGCATCTGTTACCCAAGGGTTTGGGCCTTTAAAGAATGTAACAACACCCGACTTCAGATTCTTTCAATGTGCTGGCTTGGAAGCCCCAAACCCAGAATTGCACATTACACAGCAGCCAGTTTGGGAAGCTCAAAAGCAAGGCAGCCCGGGCCTCTGAGCAGCCTCAGCAGCTCTGTCAAAGCTCTCCTTGTACCATCAGAAGTAGATTTAGTCCAGCTCAGCCACTTAAGCCCCATCACATTTCACAACCATTTCATGAAATGGTTATACTGACAGCTGTACTTTTTTATCCCCTTTTAGCTGGTCTCTTTCCTCAATTTCACTATCTGGAAATCTTTCTAATTTAATGATGTCAACGGGCCAGTAGGTGGCCCTCCGTAAAGAATTCTTATTTTGCAGCGGCTCTGGAACAGGACTGATGATGGGATTATTTTAGGTGCCCAGTTCTCTCTCCAGGGGACACAGTTAGTGTGACTGGGCCCTTTGAAATGTTTACTCTGGCATCGGGACAAAGTCCGGGAGTGCCACCTACAGCCATGCAGACCAAACGTCGCACTGATAATTCAGGCTCGGGAGGAGAAAGCAGATGAATTCTGGGCAAGAAGGAGAAGATCATTATGACAAGAAGACCCTGTTTTGCAAGATTATGAAGGGCTGTTATAATTAATCCTCTCATCGAAACATTTTTGTCTTTCTTCTTCCAGGTAAGAGTGTGAAGGCTTTTCAGAGCTTACAGAATGGAATTGGCCAGAACCCAATCTGCCTTCTGGACTTACGGTCTTCATCTCTGAGTGAGACAAATAGGAGGGAACGGAACTTCTGAGCCCCAAGGTGGCACTCATTTGAAAGTCAATGATGTCCAGAGTGAGATACTGAAGATAAGGACACTTCTGGAAAACGGAGTGAGGTGTTTGCTTTGTTGGGAATAAACCCATTACTTCCGCTTATGATAATAATTAACTTAACATCTTCTTAATGCTCCCTGATAAACCTCAGCTCCTCCAGGTCTAGGTCAAAAGGACAGGGGGAAGGTGTACAAGTCCAAGCAGAATGAGGTCTGTAGCTGCTCAGAAGTAGCTGATAACTGACCCCTCTCTCCCTTCCCCAGTCCCAGTGGGTCCAGGACTTTGAAGCAATAAAACACCCAGCCCGTGACAGCACTGAGCGATTCCTGTGCCCCAGAAAGGAGCATTTCAGTGAGATGTGCACTGAACTGCAGCCCCTCTGACACGAGGAAGGTCTGAGGCAAAGAGAGCTGATAATGAACTAGAGCTGACGATGGCAATGTGTTCATGTGCAGAAACTAACATCGCGCCTGGGGACAGGCAGGCAGCTTCAAATATTAAACAGAATTACATATTTATAGCCGTGACCTGAACACATGAGTTACGTGTTCTGAATAATTATCATTTCCGAAAGGCTACGAGAAGAGATAATACAACCTATAGGATTGCTTGCTAGATTCTACATTTATAGCATTACAATACCAAAGTTTCATCTGCAAAAGAGACAAAGCTTTTTTTTTCCCCAAAAAGTATTCAAAGATTAGGTCCTTGAACCTCATCTAAACTATACTGTTTTTTATTTCACTATCTGTCACTCAGTTGCACAAATCAGGTAAAAGGTGATACTCATGACCATGAGCAGGATCTTGGGGGTGTAACAATTAAAATCAAAAGATGAGTAATTAGCTTCAATTTTCAAACTAAGTCCCAAATTACCCCAAATGAAGCAATGAATCAGAGAAATTTCAAAGGCCAATGGCTACTGGCTTTAAAAACAAACAAACACATAAAGCCATTTGTGCCGAATCATTCTAAGCTCATCAATTTAACACTGTGAAAGTAGCATAGACACATTTAACAGTTTGGGAGAACCAATGAGACATGTCATTTGCATTGCTTCAAGATGAGATGTGAAGTGATCATTTACCAAGACCAATCATTATAAAATAAGCGAGCAACAAGATGAGTTGAGCTGGAAGGGAAAGGGCCAAGTGGGTTTTAGATCACTAACCCCGTGCCTTCATGATCCGAAGCCACATCAACCAGGTGAGAGTAAAAAAAAATTGCACCATTTCACAGTGATGGGCCTGGGAATTGGGGGGATTTAAGTGTAATTACCTGGATGTGATTTTCCCAGCACCATCAAGGAACTAAAATCCAGTCTTAGAAAACAATAAGGATTTGTTCACCCACTCCCAACACAGCTTGCTTGCTCACCCTAAAATGACACTATTGCTAAGTAACAGCTACCACTACTGACCTATTCTTTAATCTAAGTTACTAATTAGTTTAGCATGTCTGGTTGTTAACTATAATGGTGAGTTAAACCGCAATGCTTTCAAAACTAAAGACTGGCTAGTGGTCAGGTAAGCTATACCTCTTGCTTCTCTGGTCGAGTCCACGAAGCCTGGAGAGAACAAGATATAAAACACAACAAGAAAGCAGTAAAAGTTTACAACATTGCTTTAGAGAACTGGTGAATCACACTGCACTCCGTGCACATGCAGCCTCTTTCCAATTCAGAACTTTTCCAAGGCCCACTCTCCATGGTGTGCCTATCACCCAGCTTAATCAAGGACTTGGCTTATGTTCAGCTCCCTCCCACCTCACCCCCACCTTATGCACATTAGGCTGTATCATTCAAAGGTATAGGCTTCCCTCATCTCCAATAGACATACACACAGACACCAGCAGACGTATTATAAGCTGCTCCTAGACGAGAATGTCTTAATGTCCCTCGTAGTATTTGGTGACACTACTAGTTCTAACCATATAATCTTCCTCCTTTGGATTTTATAGGACAGCTTATCACAAATACACTAATGCCATTTTGTGCTCATGCATTTTATAACTCTGCATGCATACTATGAAAAATAAAATTTTCATTTAAAAAAAGGAACAACAACAAAAAAGCATAAGACACATTAGGAATAAGAGGTATGAAGTCTTTAAGACTACGAGTCAGGAAGCCTGGAGGATACCACACTGAATGCATGCAGGCTCCAGCAGGCTCCATCTTCAGCAAACACGGCACTCTAAAGAGTGAGCCATCTCAGGGACACAGAGGTTGGGTCTTTTTCTACCCACATCTATATTTAAAAAAAATTATCTGGCACTTGAGAATCTACTCTGTTTACAGTTTTTCTGTTTTCATATTGGGAGTCAGAGACATCATACCTGCATTGCTCTTTCTGTTGGATGGCATGACTGCCTGATTGTCCCTGGTGTTCAGATAGAAAAAGAATAGAGAAGATGCCAGACACAGCAATGCAACCCAGGGAATGCAAATGAGTTGGCAAACATTTAGTAGGGGTCCACTAAATGCAAGGAGCTCCTGTGAGATACGAGGATGAGAATGCTGGATTATGTCACATGAAGAAAGTGAGGACAGAGGAACATGCAGAGACCAAAGAAGCGGTGGGCCAACATGTCAAATGTGGTTGCCGATTCCACATCACTTAGAAGCTGGTTTGTCACACACCAGGGCTGCTTGAACCAAGATAGTTTTTTAGGAGTTATGTCTATGGAGTTGTTTGCTTTTCAGATCTGATTTTCTTGTGTCTCTCCCAAATTCTTATGGTTTTGTGGCATTTAGAATAAGCATTTGCTAGAAACACAATTATTCTAGTTGCTTGACCTCCCAGTACGGGTGGAATGGTAGGCTATGCCTTGCCCCTGATAACTTGGTGAAGGCGCGTGGCCTGCTTTAAGACAACCTGATATACAAAAACACAATAAAATAAATGAGAATATGATTAGTACTATTCCAAAAATTGTTAGCTCCATGTTTTTTTCATATTCATGTTTTATTACCTTACGAGTCTGCAGGAATATGTATATAAACTAAGGTGTAACATCCTTTCACTATTCTAAAGTATTCCCTGCTAGAAACTTGTCCACAGGCTGGATAAGCCAGCCTCTGGTTGCTCAATGCAGGTACCTTTTCCAGTTTTAAAAGTGAGCACCTACTTTGTATTGAATGAGGAATTCTTCTTGGTGATAAAAAGTTTGCAGAGAATTTCAAAAGATCTCTCTTATTTGCAGGCTACTTGGGAAGCTTAAGATTCAAAGTTCATGAATGCTTTTCATTTTTTCTCCTTATCTCTTCTGATCTCAACTCTTCATCCCTCTCCTTTTCAATAAACATTAAGGCTTCGGATGCTTTTATTCACCAGTTATTTCGAAGGCATGTTCAAGTAAGGACACTACGAATTTGTTCTGCCAGAGATAGATGATGCAAATTATCATCCCAAAGTTTCACCCAGAATGTAAATGGTACCTAGAATTTAGCTCCACTCACTCAAGTACCTGGCAATAGTTAAATGAGTCTGGGTAGGAAGAAATGAAATTCCGTGGACACAATATGGACACACAAACTTTCTTTGTATCTGCATTATCAATGACCTCTGTACACATTGATCTAACTGACCCATTGTCATGTTCAAATATGTTTTGATTTTGGTCAACGTAACAGTGAGCACTAAGAAATGGACTAACTTTCAGACAAATGATCTACCCTAATGGTATTAGCCCAGCTATTATCAGCTGTGGAGCGACCAACTCAACCAGCTGAAGCTTAGCAGGTTGATAGTAATCTCCAATAAGTGACTGGACTAAACCCAGAGACAAGATCACAGCTAGGGTGTGACATGCAAGTTCACTGTATTGTTTTTTTAATTTTTATTTTTTAATGAAGAAAAATAAGCATTCCATTAGAAAGTCACTAACTATGTATCAATGGCTGAAAGTCTTTTCTCCTCTCTCCTCAGTGAAGCAAAAGACCAAGTTGCTTTAATTAGCTTATATTGTGACTAACTCTATTAAAGAGATCATTAAGCCTTCCAGGGAAGTCATTAAAGTCACAAGAGGGTACTGTGGCATTTGGTACTCTACCTTCTTAGCCAATGACCCAGAGGGAAGCCCTAGTGACATTCTATAGGCTCTATACTGGACCCTGTCCCAGTCAACATTTTTATCAGTAACCTGGACAAAGATATTTTAAGTAAGTGTTCATATAAGGTTGTAGCAATAGCCAATGCAAATGCTAGATGACAGTTGCATGGGGAAGACCACTCTATTGCCTGCCATTGGGTCTTGTGCTTGGGCTGGGGTCTCCACTGATTGTAGACCTCATTACTTTCAATATATAAATAAAATAGGGGAGCATGTGGATGGAAATTCCCTGGACCCACAGACCTCTAAAGGATAGTTCTGATGAAAGCCATTCTTGACTGGTTGGAAAGGTAAACTCAAATGGTTGTTCTCATGCCCAAGAGTGTTTGCACATGTGAAATCTTGGTAATCACATGATTAGAAGTGGCTACTGGTATTTAGGGGGGAGGAGATTCGGGTGCTACATATCTTGCAATATCATCCTTTATAGTACCAGTAAAGGAAGAGTCTTCCCAAGTTTTCATCGTGACCCCATTGAGAAACATTGGGTTATAACCAACAAAATGCAATTTTTAACAGAAATAAAAATAAAATTCTGCATGATTGATTAAGCAATCAATTGCATAAGAACAGGATAGGAGGCATGTGGCTTAAATGCAGTTCATGGAAAAGAGACCTGAACATTTTAGTTGACCACAAGCTCAATACAAGGCAACAGGATGAGGAAACTGCTGAAGGCACTAATACAACTCTAACTGCATTACAGCATCCAGATCAAGGGAGTAATAACCCATGGAGGTCTTCATCATTGACTCTGGGCACCACAAAATTTTAATGAAGCACCGGTGAGCTGATGTCATCTATTATGGGGCAACTGGTGAGGTAAAGAACAGACTGAAGAAAACTCGAGTAGCTGCTTTAAGAGCTCTCATACAAAGACTGGCTGCCAGAGGTGGGAAGGCTGAGAAGCAGACCTCCTGGTCATCAGCATTGAATGACTGCCCTGCAGAGGGCTGACAATGTCACCTTTAAGGCAGGGCTGAGTGACTGTCTGGCAGATATGTTAGAAAGCGGTGCCAGGTAAGACTAAATAAACTCAAAGAATGGCTTCCTTCCAACCCTCTATGATCCAGGCATTTTATGTGATCTAATTCTCAGGAGCCTTCCTTACCTTGGCAGTTCAATACGATGGTCTATTCTTATCTGCTTAGCATAGCATCCTGATTTTAAAAAGAAAATTGTTTTCTTCCACTCCTACAACTCAGTGACTCTAATCATGTCGATACCTAATTACATATCATGCAACTTCAGATAGAGTTGCACATGAGAAGCAGCCACCAAAGTAAAAGTGAAGCTTACTATCTGGAGTCCAACCCCCCAGCAAGAGGCCACCTTTCTTTCTTAATTATTAGCTATCCGTGGTATGAAGCTGGACATCGCGCCTCTTTGATGTCAGTAGAGAATTAATATAAACGGCAACTTTTTGGTAAGGGCTTCATTAGGTAGGTGTGCTCATCTGGTGTCACAGCACTGGCCAGCCTGGAGGACTTGTTCTCACATTGATTTACTCACGTTCCAGTAATGTCACGTCAAGCAAACCATTGTTGTTATGGTAAAACAACACCACCTAAGTGGCAGGGTTTAAATAATTATCTCTGGTTGAGACACATGACCTACACTCACTGACAAGTGAGTATTCCTTGGCTTGAGAAAGTCTCTGCTGAACACCTTCAGTCTCAGTATTTAGTGAGTGTGAGTGTATATTAGTACCTGGTTATTTGTTCTCATTCTGTGAAAATGAATTCACGGATACAAGCTAGAGAACCAAGCTATTAAAGGAGCTGAGGTAGGCAGAAATCTTAATAACTCTTCTGGTCTAGCTTAGCTATTGAGCTATTCCTAGAAAAGATGTAGAATTTAAAAGCATCGTTCATCTGGGATAGATGTTATCTCTGCCCTTCACTGAGGTCAAAGATATACACTGCGCCATTCTGGACAAATCTACTCTTAAGACTAATGTAGGAAAACCTGTCAGGCAGCGGTCCTGTGGTTTAAGCCCTGGAATGCAAGTTCAATCCACACAACACACATGATAGGAGCAGAAATCTGAGCTGAAGGTTTAACCCCAATGTTGATAAAGAAAGCATCAAGTAAACACCACATTTCTTACTCCAGTACAATATCAAACAGCATATGCCAGTTTCAAAAATACTTAGCAGTTCCTTCGTTGAGTTTTTGCTAAGTCGAATTCAACTCTGGAGGTAAAACTTGCGAAAAATAATTGGTTTTGGAATGGTATTTCTGTTCCCTTTGACTCAGCTTTGCTTTCTATTAGCGGGACAGAAATCAATTCCTCAAGTGCAGATCCCAAGTTTGGTTCTAGTGTCTCACACTCTCTCTTTCGGGTGTACTTGAGTTTACCCTCTCTAAGGATTTCCTTTAGGGAGGCAGAAGAGTGAAGATCTATAATTTCTGACATTTTGGTCAATAATTAATCCATTACAAATGCCCTTTGAATCGAAGGCCATTACTTCTGAGTAGGTGACAAAGCCCATTACTACAGGATATATGAGGTGAGACTGGAGAGGTGCCCTAAGATGGTTTAAGTCGCTTTAAAACCAAGCTTCTTTCCCCTCCTGCATTTGGCCCACTCGGTAGCAAAGGGCTACACATTGTGGGGTCCCCTCAATTATTACATATTGTTCATAATAAAGACAGCTTTCTGGTGGCCTGTAAATCCACATGTTTTCAAGTGAAACCTCCCCAGTCGTTTGAATTTGTCACGGAGCTTGCTATGTTGTTCTTACACTCTCAGCGAATACACTGCAGAGCCTAGGGCAATCATCATCATGTGGAAACTGCTAATTATTTTTGCCTTTAGATCAACATGATATACAAATGTGATCGAGAATACAGGCAGACACAAAGGCAACCAAGCTTTTGTGCACATAGTGCATGTATAGCATGAGTATACAGAATACAAGGAGAAGAATTGACAGGCTTGTTCTGACCCTATAACTTCCAGGAGACATTTCCTTGGTGCTCCTGAGATGAGGATGAAATCACCTGGAGCACCAGGATGTCAGTAGGAGAAGAATTGACAGGCTTGTTCTGACCCTATAACTCCCAGGAGACATTTCCTTGCAATCACCCGGAGCACCAGGATGTCAGGTTGCCTTGTTCCTCACAGCCCCAAATCCTGGTTTGAAAATCACTACCTTCTTCCTCCCCAGAGCGTCTACCTTGACCATACCTACTAACATCACCCCCCTGCCAATCTATGCAATGAACTGCACCTCTTCCATTGTCAGAGGATGTGGAGCAGGATGCATTCAGGTGGGGGGAGGAGGAGGCCACAGACCTGGACTACAGTGACCATATCCCCCTTCTGGCTCACCGAGGAGAATTGGGCATTGGGCAGACTCAATCCGCTTCGAGTCTGCGTGCCATGCCCTGAGATTCTTGGGCGGCGACATTATACCTTTTCTTCGCTGCTGATGTTTCGGGTGGAAGTTCTCCAGGTGATAGAGGGAATGGGGTCTCCCGAGGCTTCACAGGTAAGAGTGACCTGCTCCTCTAGTTCCATGGCGGTCTGGTTCTCTACATAAGTGATTTTGGGTTTTGCTGAAAAGACAAAACATTCTTGTAATTCCTGTAATGTTTATCTAACCTTCTCAGTGCCCCAGGTTTAAGTGGTAGCATGCACAACAAAGGTTATCTACTTCCTAAGTATAGGCTGTACTCTACGTGTTGAAGCCTCAAGGGCTTACCACAAGGCAGGCACACGGCAACACCGCAGTGACTAATAAAAACAACACCCTGTGTAGTAAGAGTGCTAAGTGAGGGCAATGGATACAAGAGGCAAGGAGCAGAGGAAGAGCCCTCCTCTGGTTGGCGTCTTGGTGGGGACACAGCTTTTGGGCTGGGCCATGAGATTTTCAGTAGGTGAAACTTTGGGGTGGAGACTGAGTCATTTCATGGGTAGAAAACTGGTTGGAGGAAAGCAAAGAAGCAAGAATACATGACGAGAGGGTTGGGAAGAGAGTCACGTGTTTGTGTATCAAAGCAGAGCAGGCAACGCTGCATCTTGACACAGAATCTTGACCACCTGTTAATGTTCTTGCTTGAATTCCGTCCAGTGGCAGGTGGAGGCCACTGACAGTGTTTGATCAGAGGGGATGAAATGGTCATTTGCATGACAAGAAGGTTAATCTAGAAAAAATTCAAGATTATTTAGCAAGGAGAAAACCTTGAGTCGGGAAAACAATTTGGGAGCTCTGGCAGTGCCCCAGCTGTGATGTGACAGTTCTGATCGGGCCATGTCAGGGGACCGAAAGGATGGCTTCGAGAGAGATGCTAAAGAAAGGCTTTATGGGAAGTTGCAAGTGAGCAGGGGTAGGAGGGATGGCAAGAAACAAAAGAAGGAATGAGGAGGAGCCAGGCGATGCTGAGATTCGTAATGCCCAAGGAAGTTGTGTGGCATTAACTCAAGTACGGAAACGTGGTAGGTAACTCGGGTTATGGAGTGGGCTGGGGTGGGAAGGAGATAAGTTGAGATGAGTTCATTTTCCAAATGTTTTGGGTAATGCAAGAAAGCACAAGCATTCAAAGCTGAGTTAAATGTTAACACATTAGAGAAAATTGAATTTTCCCAATTTAAAACAATTATACTCTGAAACTGCTAAACCTTCCATAGAAAAGATAACACTGCACAAGTACAACTTATTTCACTAATAGAGAAAAGGCCAGGCTAGATAAACAAATAAAAAATGAGTAAATTAAAATTATGGCTAATTTTTGAAAGAACTGCTTTTCCTCTATATTCAGATTCACCCAGTAACCCCATGTAGGCTAACAAACTACTGCCTACATACAGCCTCCAAATTGAGGCCCTTGATTCTGCTTTAATAAACAGAAAATAAAGATAGAGCTGTGCATTTTCTGTGGAAAATATCTGCTTCTATATAAAACTACCACATAGTTCAAATATTCTCCTGAAGTTAATCTGTACTAACAGCCAGCTTAGCGAATCCTTTATTGCCCATCAGCACATGGGCTCATCTCAGTCCAATGTGGCCCAATGATCATGCATTTGAATCCATGGAGCCCATGAATAGGTCTTCCTCTAGGAAGGCTTTGTGTCTACCTTGATAAATAGGACTTTGAGAAAGGCCACAGCTCATATTGGATGCAGTTAAGTGTTAAGTGCTGTTGAGAAGGAGGTTTAGTGCTAAAATCAGATTGAGAAGTTAAAAAAACATCAGCCAGACAACTGAATTCACTAAAACTGAACATTTTTGGGGGGGGGGGGGGGGGAGATTGAAGGCAGTTTTTGGAATTTCTGGCCTCTTGAAACCTAGTCAGACGCTGTGATCTAGACAGTGTTTGCTGAGGGAGGAGGAAGGCAGTCTTTGGAATTTCTGGCCTCTTGAAACCTATTCAGATGCTGTGATCTAGACAGTGTTTGCTAACCTTCTCCTGACCCCAGGACTTGGTCCTGGTGGACAAAGGTTAACAGAAGATGAAGGACAAGTTAAGTTCTATTAACAATATTTGGTTTTGGTGGCTCCATTTCGCAGATGGTTATATAGGGTGCACCATATAAGTCTCTAGAAAAAGGAAAACTATGTTCTTATTAAAAACATTGTTAACAATGACTAATTTTGCACGGTCTACAGAGGCTGTTGGAAGGAAGGAAGCGTCTACTGATGACTTAGCATCTCTGCACTCCAGAAGCAGGGCTATTGTCAGAACTAACTGCAGGCTGAGACTGCTGCCTTGGACATAGAATAGCAATATAAGTCATTGTCCAGATTGGACCACACCTGAGAGTGAAAAGGCGTGCTCTGATCATTACATTGGGAAAGTGGGCAAGCCGGGCAGGTGCAGGGTTTCTTCACTCTGCGCACTGGCATCCAGAGGCATCTGTCCAGGTTTTAACTACAAGGGCACTTGCACCATCTTAATTCACCTCTGTTGTGGGCCCTTGACTTTGGATCCCTGTTCTATTCTCCACCTGCCCCATGGGACCTAATGCCCTAGACTGTGCCATTGCCCCTGTCCCTGTGGACCCTCCTGTGAGCACCCCTGATCTCCTCTTCCAGCATGTCCACAGCTCTGCATCCTGCCACTGCAGGCCAGCCTTGTCTACTCCCACCCTAACCCAGGCTTCTGCAAGCCCAGTCCAAGGACTGTGGGGTCCTGCTTCTGTGAACTGAAACATTGAACCAGGTGCACCTTCCCTCAACTTATTTGTCCTTTGCTGTAACTCACAAGGTCTGCTTTGGTCCTTAGGGGCCAGCTAAGCAAAGCTTCTGCCACTGATGAACTCGCCTGAGCCCTCAGCAGCATGAGATCTTAAGAGCATTCATATGAGCATAACAAGAATCTGTGGGGGAAAAATACTCCTTCAGAAGGGCCCACAGGGAGGAGCAATGGAAATTCACTGCCAAATTTAAAGGAAGGAGGATGCAACTACTTAGTAAAAAGAGCATCTGACTGATAACTAGGGCGATGCACACTAGAATGTTTCCCTTTCTTAGGAAAATGATGTCATTCAGGTGCAATTATGGCAGACCCTAATTAGATGTGTCCCTACCATACTAATTGCCACCCCTTCTTGATCCACAGGAGTGCTGAGCGCTTCTTTATTGTCTAAGCTACAGGTTTCTTTGCTCTTCTATCTCATTGCTGCGGACTCGGATGCCACTAGGGAGCCTGCCCCATTTCTCCCCTGGTGCTAGTCCCAGATTGCAAACTTGAGGGGAAGGAGAGGGAGAAAAAGGGTGAAAGAAAGATGCAGCCCAAACTAGCTGGCCTCTCCCAACCTGGTTCTCTGGCCCTAGTACCAATCTCCTAAACCAATGGTGGGGGCCAGAAGGAGGAGGAGAAAAGGAGGTGAAGAACATGAATGGAGAGGGAAGGGAGAGTGTACATGGGGAACTAGGTTACGCTAGGGAAGCTAGCGAACTCTCCCCCAGATATTACAGAGGAGCATTCTCATTCTGGATGGGGCTGGACTAGACATGGTCCTAAGACCATGTTTTTTTCCCTGTCTCTGTAGACGTCAGGCCACCTCTCTTCTGTTGCTCTACTATACTCCAGTGCACATCCTCCCAGCTGCAGCTTTGGGAAAGAAACTGTGGTAGAAGAGAGAGAGAGGGAGAGAGAGAGACTGTGAATGTGTGTGTGTGTATGGGAGAGAGAAAGAGGGAGAGACTTTGTGTGTGTGTGTCTGTGTGTGTGTGTGTGAGAGAGAGAGAGAGAGAGAGATAGGAGGGGATGCCTGGTGAGGGCGGTGGGTAGAAAGACAAAGCCTGCCTTGCCACAGTTCCTACATCTCACTTTCTGTACCTTATCGCCCACTTTCCTGGACCCCACCACTCCCTTCACTCCAGCATGGCCCTGTATGGCTCTTGCCTCACTCCCACACATCCTTCCCAGTGCAGCTGTCACCACCAGAGAGGCTGGAAGAGAAGCCAAGAGCTGTCCTCAACCAGCCAAGGTAGAACCGAATGTGCTTCCACAGAGAAGCCAAGTTATCCATGATGGTAAAGGAGAACACCAATTTCACTATCACCAGTCATTCCACATGTAATCTATATAATAAAAGCCTAAGTGACCATTACAGCGGAACTACCAGAACGACCTGTCACTATGATGCACACTGACCATCAGGGGGCAGATGCTCAATGCAGGAGCTGCCCTCTGGTGGTCAGTGCGCTCCCACAGGAGGAGCACTGCTCAGCCAGAAGCTGGGCTCACAGCTGGTGAGTGCAGCAGCGGTGGCAGGAGCCTCTCCCGCCTCTGTGGCAGCACTAAGGAGCAGCAAGCTGAGTGGTAAGGATCAGTGAGCAGGCGGGCGGTAAGCAGTGAGGGGGCCTGGACTGCGAGAGAGCGCAGGCCAGGCTGAGGGACCACCCCCCAGTGCACGAAATTTGGTGCACTGGGCTTCGAGTTTAGATATAATACGTGTTAAATTGGGTTTCATGGGACAGCAACTACCACTGATAGCTCAGGGAATGGACTTACAAGCTGGGCTTGATTCTTGAACAGGGCACCTAATTTCCTTTTGTTCAGTTTCCTCATTTGTAAATTGGGGATAATGATTAATCTACCTCATAGGGTTGTGTTGCGGATTAAAAGAGCTAATTTATGAATAGAACTTCACATAGTGCTCAGCACATTATAGTGCTCACTTCTGTTCAGTATTGTTATTATTATTATTTTATGGGGCTAATATCTAAAAGAATTTTCTAAAACAAGTCATCATTATACATTTTTAGGCTCATCTCTCTGCCACATACCTGATGATTAATTCACACAAAACTAATTTCTATTCCCTCAATTATCCAAATACTAATACCTATTACATGCCAAGTACTCTCCCAGGCACTGGGGATATCTGGGGGTAGAACAGACAGAGGTCCCTGTCCACTAGCTCACATTTAGGACACGTGCCCCTCCTGCCTCCGTGCCTGTGCCTGTTGGCCTGCAATGCTCACCTGTCCTGCCTCTTCTGGGAAACTCCAACTTGTTTACTAGCACAGCATTTGCAAGGGTTTCCCTAACTTCTGTGTCACGCAGGACCAGAGATCCTTTCTACAAAACACCGTGCATATTGCTGTTATCAAGTCATTATAAAGGATTAAATATTTGAGTGTTGGCCATGTTCATGAGCTAGGGAACCCACTGGTGAGAACAGAACCTACTGATGAGCAAAGAGTGCATGTCATTCATCCTTGTGACCATGGCAATGGCTGAGCCTAGACGGGGCACTCAAATGTTGCTGGATGACACTATCTATTATAATTTATGTGCTTATATGTCAATCTCTCTCATTCATCTCAGGGTCAAAGGGCTGTATCTTTAGCTCCTCTGTTTAGCAACAATGGTATTCAATAAATACTTGTTGAATGAAGGAATAAATTAACAAATGCATTTGTCTCTCTCTATAATATGAAAAAAAAACTTAGTGCAACTGCGAAGACTAGTCAGAATTAGAGAAACGACTGTCAAGAATATTTTCAAGAAGTTTAGCTTTCACCTTCAAGTATGTGCTCATACTGAATTAATCTGAATCAAACTGATACACTGTTTATAAACCCAATTGTTATAAATGAATAAATAGGATTCATCTGTGATTAGCAAGTCCAATTGTATATAAACGCTTGATTTTCAAAGCTCTGTTTACAAACATGGATCAGTTCGCCTGATCAGGCTAAACAAGCAGGTCCCATGCAGCTTTCCAGGCATGAACCTCTGACACCTGCTCTAGTAGCACTATCTACAATGGACCAGCTTAGCTGTGTGTGTTTTTTTATATACTTTTATTGACTTCAGAGAGAGGAAGGGAGAGGGAGAGAGAGAAACATCAATGATGAGAGAGAATCATTGATTAGCTGCCTCCTGCAGGCCCCCTATTGGGGATCGAGCCTGCAACCTGGGCATGTGCCTTGCAGAGGAATCGAACTATGATCTCCTGGTTCATAGGTCAATACTCAACCACTGAGCTACATCGGCCGGGCTTAGCTGTGGTTTTTAAAAAGATGAGCAGAGAGAGTAGAGAGCCATTAGGTTGGACATTTTCCCACTACAAATCTTTTTTCCAAGGTCAGGTCAAGTCAAAATTTATTTCAGTTCTAAATGCATGGAATTTAACTGAGTTTATAAAGAAGATGTGAATAGAGTTGTGGGGGTTATTTTCATGACTTTTATGATGCTGTTTCACACAGGCCAGGGAAAGAAGAAAAGGGAAACGGAAGCACTGGTCACTATTATGTACCAAGGGCCTATGACGAGTCTGGTAGTGTTGGGAGTGCCAGGGAAAAGGCAATGTATGCGACTAAGTCTCTCACCTCCACTAAGTGTGTGCTCCACCATCTTGGAGTCTACACACTTAGTGGAGGTGAGAGACAAACAATTCCCAGAACAAATATGTAAATGAGGTCAGCTCAGGTACTGATAAGTACAATGAAGAAGACACAGTCAGGTTAATGGAAGAGATTAGTGGAGGCAGGGGAGCTGGTGGTGATTCAGAGGCAGGGCAGTGAAGGGAGGATTCATTGAGAAGGTGGTTGAGTTGAGATCTGAATGATGAAAGAGGAGAAGCAGCTGCGAGCAGATCTGGGTGAGTGATATTCCAAGCAGAAGGAACATCAAGTGCAACATCCCTGAGGCAGGGAACAAGTGTGCTGTGCCCGAGGGACAGAAAGGAGGCCTGAAGCTTTTAAGTGTGGAACAAAGTGGAGGAAGGATGAGATGGGGAAGGAAGGTGGGCTAGCTCAGGTTTAGTCTTGCGGGCCAAGGTAGGGAGTCTAGATTTTATTCTGATTGCAATAGGAAGTCATGGGAAGGCTTTAAACAGAGGAGTGACACTCAGGTCATCTCACACTTAAGGAGTAAGCAGGAGGGGATGAAGGGGACCTATGGGAGGTAGGCAGGGGGACCAGATAGGAGGCTGTCTCATTGACCAGGGGAGCAGGAGGGTGGCTTGAACTGGGGCATAGGTGGCAGAGCTGGTAAGAAGAGGCTGCACTTGGGATAGATTCTGAGGCAGAGTGGACAGGCTCTTGTGGATGGATTGAGTGTGCAGGGTAAGGGGAATTTAGTGACCTTGACCCCCACTGTCCTTACCAAAAACTTTGAGGTGGATGGACGCATCCTGCTCTCCAGCCTTGTTCTCGGCGATGCAGACATACTCAGCCTCGTCGTTCTTATCCACCTTCCTGATGGTCAGCTCCGAACTGTCGTCACTAAAGACGTACTTCTCGTCTTCCTCATTCTCTATCAGATCCCCGTCCCTACAGGGTGCACCAAGGCAAAGGACCATGATTTTGACCACAGAGGGAAGATGTTTGTTTTTAATTTGTTTCCATAAAATGCAGTCTGAGCCCATGGGAAAGGCTCAGTCTTCACAAAAAGTTAAGACACCGAATTGCATTTCCAAATATACCTTAGATTCCTCCACCCAAACCTCTGATCCTGTCCCTGGGCTATAAACTGCACTCACAGACATACCAAAGAGGGCCTCCAAGACCATACTCTCTACCCGCAGACTGAGGATGCAGGAGGAATCCGATGCACAAGGCAGGAGAACCGTGCAGGGGAGTGTATCCTGCACCCGGAGTCGGTGACATCCCCATGCAGTCTGTCCCTGCTCCATGGCAATGCCAACCCGGAGCAGGCCCTGTGCTGGCCCCTTCTCCACTAGTCCCTGATCCAACGCAGGAGCCGGGTCTTACTTTGTCCAGCTCATGGTGGGCTCCGGGAAGCCTTCGGCATCACACACCAGGGTGACGGACTGGCCGAGGTTGGCGGTGGCATTCACGATGCTTTGCCTGGCCTGGACGGTGGGTGGTACTGAAGGAAAGAAGGGCTGTCAGGGGTGGTTGGAAGAATCCAGTGGCCTGGAGAAGCGGCACTTCTAGGGAACCCTAGGTCAAGGGTCACACCTGGGGGTCAAGAGTCCTGGGCAGTTGCAGAGTTAGTGTAAGGGATCTCAATTCAGGCACGTACTACATAATTATTGTAAACTGAATAAATAACTCACCCCTGAATAAATAAAATGCACTAGTGTTTTATAACAATATACAGGTGTGGGCAAAAGTAGGATTACAGGTGTATTATTATTTATTTATTAATGACTATATTTATTATTATTAATCTACTTTTGCTCACTCCCGTAAAATGTTGTATTTTAGTAATATAGCTCTTGAAGCTATATTAATGCATTTTATTCGTTTTAAAATGGCATTCAATTCATAGCAGCTATTTATTATTATATATTATTTCAGTCAGTGCATATTCAACTTACAACTACCATGGCTAGGGAACTTGATGTTCAAAATGGGATTCTTCATACTGGAAAATGTTGAAACTCCTGATCCCGGTGATTAAATGGTTAATGCCGATTTTAAATGCACCAGTGCACCAGAGTGACATTTCTCTGGAAATGTCATAAACAGCCCTGTGCACCAACTGTTTTACCAAAGGAATGAAGGGGGAGGGTTTAGCAAAAGTATATATCAATAGCCAAAACAATCTGACCATGATATGCTTATTTTCTTAATACTGACATTATAATTTCCTGTAGACATCTTGTAAATGTCAGATCGATTCCACTGGTGTGTTTATTTGACATTGCAAATTAAGATTAATAAGCCCATGGGCCATGATTCTGACTGTTCTGAGGCCTGAATTGATTATAATATTTTCATTGCACACTGAACCAGGGGACTAATTTCACAATTACGGTAGCATCAAGGACAGTGGAGTCTGAATCAGAATGTATTGGTAAGCATGGGGAAAGTTTCCAGTGGTTCAAGACAATGAAGGACATTAAAAACTGCACTAATAGGCCCCATAGTTGAGGGAAACCCAAAAGGCAAGTATATATATATTGTTTTTTAGAAAGAACCAAGCGGGAGGCAATAGGAGGTAGGGGGATTCGGCTGAGATCGAATGAGTCTACATTTTATACACCAAAGAGGAGGTCGAAGAGAATGATATTGGGGACCAAGGTTGTAGCAATGGAGATAGTAGGAAGAACGGATCTCCTCACCATTCACAATGACCTGAATGTCCTTGAAGTTGATCTCCCCTCGTGCCAGGATCCTGCCCTCACATCGGTAAGTACCCTCATCTGTTTTCTTGATGTTCCGAATCTGCAGGTAGTTGTTGGACAGGACTATGAATCGGACTAGAAGAGACAAGAGGCAGGTTCGTCCAAGGATCAGTTAGAGAACTTGTGTCTGTAGGAAGATCGCTGAGCCTTTCCCTTTTCCTAGCTTCAGTCTTATGGGGTGGAGCTTTACACTGAAATAAGAAAATGTGTCCCTGGCTCTGACATAGAGGCAAGAGCAAATGTCTATTGTAAACTTGTCCCTTTCTTTGGAGGAAGTCCCTGAACATACAAGCCACAGACATTATATATATATATATATATATGCTCTGACATAGAGGCAAGAGCAAATGTCTATTGTAAATTTGTCTCTTTCTTTGGAGAAAGTCCCTGAACATACAAGCCACAGACACATACCCATTTAGGACCTAAACTGCATGTGGTTCTGGAAGGGACACTGGAGTGGGTCTAAATGCCTCACAGGCCGGCAGAGGTGGAACCCTAGGGGACTTGGTGGCCCAGGGGTAAGGCAGCTGCCAGGGAATTCAGGTCTCACCATCTTTTTTCAGGATGACATCTCGACCTTTGTGTTTCCAGATGATGGTTGGGGGTAGAGAGCTGACCACATCACACACGATCACTGCGTCTTCCCCCTCCCTGAACTCCTGGGGAGTTGGTGCATTCTTGAACATGAGCTTCTCTGGAAAACGAGCAAAAGAAGAGTGAGGGAAAACAGCTGGTTTTCCCACAAAGATGCCTTTCCACTGGAGCCATACTGCCTGGATTCCAGTTGCAGGCAACTCTCAAGACATATATACAGTAGTATAGAGAGGGTTCCACCCAGTACTTGGTCAAAGATGCCAGGTGGAGCGGCTGGCATAAGTAGGGGAATATGTTGTGGAAGTTTGGCAATCAATGTCTATCACTGAGTGCTAAATTTATCATACTTTGTGTATGAAACATCTGTGGAGCGAAAGGAAGGTCTTTACCAGGGTCCCTTGCCATGTGGAATAGTGCCATTGAGACACAGTGCATAAGTAGAATGAACTGGTAGAACACCTATTCTACAATGAATAGCAGGAGTTATCAATCCTTTCTTTGTCTCCCACTCTGTGTGGTACCCCGGCCTCAACTTTACTACAGCAGAGAGAATTTTAAAGAATAGAACAGAAGAAAGGCAATAATGGCAATAAATACCATGACAATCCATACTGTTCCATTAGTTGTCACCGACCATTACACTGGCCAATGGGACAGATGCAAGATTACAAGGTGATGAGAGGCCACCATCAGACCAAGTAGCAATTGTAGCTGCCTGTTCTGAGAGGGACAGAGTTCTAATAAATAATATCCCCCTAACCCTCCACTGAGCTTTTTGACTCCATTACCAGCATGGGAGAGTGAAATAAGAGGGGACCCTGAATTGTACAACAGTTAGTCAACACTTGGGGAAGGGATGGGGCACCCATAATAGTTCTCTGGGAGTTGTGTAGTTTGAATTTAGAGTTGGAGGTCAGTGGGAGGTTGCTGTGACCAGCATGAACCCGGGTTGTGAGTTCTGAGTTGGGTCAGGATCATTTAAGAGCATATTGGAGCTCTTAGTACAATTCAGAAAAGACTTAGGGTGAGGAAAGAAGGGAAGAAGCCCTGTCAAGCCCTCAACAGGTCCTTTATTGCCATCCCACTCTGCCTGCTGCCCATGTATCTTCCTGGCCAAAGATGAGGACAAATATAGGAGGAGAAGAAGGCTCTTACGGAAGATCTTCACGTTGACTGTGGCCTCTGACTCACTGCCGTCCTCGCCAGTGACCACACACTTGTAAATGCCGGCATCGTCAATGTCAGCATTGTAGATGGTGAGGGTGGAAGAAGAGTCGTCATTCCATACCACTGAGATCCGCTGCTGGTTCGGGGTGAGCTTTTCTCCATTGGGGGAGAACCAGGAGATGTCTTTATCTTTGGCTTCCCCTGCCACTGAAGAGGAAGAGATTATTTTAGAACCACACAAGTAAAAAGACAAAGTCCCCTCCGGGGTCAGTGGTACTCAGTAAGAGCTACCGTATGAGACCATCGGGTGCGATGACTGGGAAACATGACCATGTCCGTAGAGTGTCACTCTGGCTTCTGTGTTGAACTGTGATTACATAACACCACTTACGGTGTTTGGAAGGGACTCAACAAGGACTTGTGCCAGTATCTCATAGCGGTCCTATCCTTAGCAAGGGAAGAGAGGAGATATTTGCTGAGGACCTACTGTGTGCTGAGCACTCAGCTAGGAGTTTACAGCCTCAAGAATGAGAGGGGGTGGGGGGTGGGGCAAAAGGAGTCAGCATATCTAGGAGCTGAGATCGAGGAACTAGCTGGTTTGAGCAAAGTGATCAGTTTGTGTTCAAAGGCTCAGACTGTGGTCTCTTGAGTGGAAGATGAGACACTGGTTAGCCTAGGAGTGTGGACCCCAACTACTTTTATTCTAGCATCTGCCTGCACAAACTGGCATGACTGGCATTCCAGCAGCCCTGCCACAGAGGGACAAATTCATCTCCTTCAATGCTGAGAAGAAGACAGCTAGAATCAGATGAATGTCCTTTCCCCAGGCACCACGGAGGGGCAGACATTGCTGCTCCGCTATCCCAGACACTGAGCTGGACCAGGGCTCTGGACCCGGACACGTGGCTCCACCCAGCCCTCTGCACACGCCTCCCCAGCTCACACCACCATCCCTGCACAGATGCTTGGTATGGAAATGAAGCAGTCTTCCTCTCAGGGCCCATTATGTTTTCAATAAATATCGCTATTTGCAAGATGTGCTGTGGGCTCCAGGCTGCATCCCCAGATCATGTAAATTGCCAAAACGAAGGTGGAGCTGGAGTGAACACATCCGGCGGCCACAGCCACCTCACCCACCGCAAATCAGGACAGCATTTCAAGGCCCCTCCTGCTGAAAGTGGCTCGTTAAATGTCACAGTTCACACCTAGCTCAGCTCTTCCCTGGTTCCCCCACTTTCCAAATCCCAGTCATGTCACTTACAGAGAATCCAAAGTTAATCCGAAGCCTGATCCTGCACAGGACAGCTCCTGGTAATTATCTGAGCTGTGGAAACGGGGCATAATTTCTAAAGAGAAAACAAGGACACCGGCTCTGACCATCCTAGAGCTCTGGTGGGGGCAACGGGACAGAATACTGAATTCACAGCAGACCTGGAAACCCGGGACTCGTGTCCGCACTGCAGAGATACCAGTGCTCCATTTCCTTTCAGCAAGTTTTGCGCTTGGGCTTTCCTGTTCTGGGGATTCTGAGAAATAAGCCTCACACTGACTCACTGAGGCACCATTTCTTCCTCTGCTGTCAGTTACGAGCTCTGGATGCGTACCGAGTGGGGGCTCAGAGCTGACTCCCTCTTCTGGGAGTTGTGCTGACTCTCCCAGGAACATCCCTAGTGCTCCACCACCAAGTGCAAGTCCAGATACAGTTCCCTGTGCTGGGGCTGCCCTTTGAGAGGGGAGGGAGAGGGCCTGAGAGCCTCCTTGGCTCCCAAGTCATACTGCTGACCCTGCAGCAAAGCAAAACCAAGAATTCTGGGTGCTGTGAGATCAGCCAGCACACAGCCCATGGCTGTTTGTCTTCTGGGAGGCTGCCCTGCATGCAGTGGGCCCCAGGCACTTGCCTTGGCATAAGAAGAATTTGGACTCTCCAACGCTGATTTCCCCCTGGCTGGGAACAATATCCACCTGCAGAGAAACTGAAAAAGACAAAGTCCAGTTTAAACACACATTCACATTCCTAAGAATGAAACAGAGAGCTTTCATTCAAAACTGGCGTGTCCCCACTCATGTTTAGAGCAGGGGGAGGTGGTTGTTTGGGTTTTAAGAACCGGTCACCGTCATAGATTCCATGGGTCCTCATGTCGATTCCAGGAGTGGACACGGTCAGACCACTCGCTGTGGCACTGCCGCCTCTGCCTCCTAGTGCCGGTGCCCGGGGAGGTCTGGGATGGCCTCCGCACTAAGTGTTTCGGGCCCCTGAGAAGGCTGCGGTCCTACTCCAACCAGCAGCACTTCTGAGAGTCATGGACACAGCCGCTCGACAGCTACTTTTGGAAACCAGGGCTGTGTGAGAGGGAAGCCTGCTGCTCCAGAACTCTGCACAGGGGTCTCCTGCCAACCTGTCGTGCTGCCATGCCTCATGACTCTGGAGAAGGACCCCATGGGGTGGTCCAGATGGATTTGCCAATGCTCACCTTTCTCATGACTCTAGGACCAGTGCATCTCTTTCCATAACAGGAGCCAGCATCAAACATCCCACCCCAATGAGGCAGACCCCCTTCTGCAATGCTGGCGCCGTGCCCTGGGAAGTTCCCCGAGTACCTTGGCTCCTTGACCTGAATTTTTATTTGCATAGCCACGTGCTCTGTCATTGCACTCCACCGATAAGACAAAATACATTGCACTGGATCTCAGACTCCTGTACTCATTCAGCTCCTTGTTTATCTGTTCAGGACAGATAACTGTGTCCATGAAAATACAGTTTTAGGGCAGAAAAGAAATGTTTTTATTCATTTGGATTCAGCTTCCTTCTGCCTCCTTTCCTCTTAGTAAATCTGAAGGCCAACAGACGTTTGGTTCCACGCATGTAGCTTCGTAAAGCCCGTGCGAAGGAGGGGCTTGGACAAAACAGGCCGGGTAATGAAGACTCTGTAAGCCCTTCCTTAGAACAGCCATTTTCCCTGCACAGTGGAGGTGGGAATGCTGGTTGCCATGGTGAGGGACTTGCAGGCAGAGCTGCTGCAGGTCTCCGTCTGCCCGCATTTGATGAAGGGACCACAGTTGTGCTCAGCAGAATGGAGGAATCAAAGGGCCTGAGTGGGGGCTGAGATGGGGGGCATCTCAGCTATTGGGGGCAAGGTTTTCCTAACCTCCTACCAACAGACAAAGCAGACCATGGCAAAACCCAGCAGGGGCAGCAGAGAAGGATGGCTTGGAGGAGACAGAGACCGAAAATCGAAGGAGCCAGGGTAAGAGGAGTCAGGCACGGGGTCCAGCTGGGAGAGGATGCTGAACACTCCACTGTGAGGATAAGAGGCTGGGGCTCAAACACTGCAAACACTGGTTTGGAAGAAATATTACAGCGATGGAGGGGCAGCTGGTCTCTCCCTCACTTGGTTAGCTGCTGATTACTCATTTGGGGCTCAGGACTGAATTCTTCCTGAGAGAATGCAGTCTTCCCCTCCCTTCCCTGTATGCTGCCCACAGCACACAGGGGTGCAATGGAACACAGTGTCAGACGAGGGACACTGAGCCACGGCACCAGTGTGACTGGCTGGGCTGCCTCTCCCATCACTCTTCTCCCTGTGAAGTCAGGTGCCACTCAATTCTACACTGAGGGAGCCGGAAGGAGTCTCAACCATCACCATGCCCTGCCTCCTCATTTTCTGGATGAGAAAAGCGAGGTAGAGTGACTTCCTGAAGGTCACTTCTAGGTAGGGCCAGGGTGGCCCCAGAGCCCGGGCCATGAGGCTTCCAGCTAACTGTTCTTTCTAGTATGCAATGCTGCCTCTGCAAGTAGAGAGTAAACTGTTTCCATTCCAGTTAACAAGCAACCTGGCCCTCCAACTCACCACCTCCCAATAGACCAGAGCGAGCCCAGAACTGGCAGGGCCCACAGTGCTTCGGGGAGCATGTGGTCTTACAGAGTGGGTGACAGCACAGTGCCATCCACCTTAAGGGCAAGCAGGACCTTTTCTATGCCCTTCTGCGGCTCAAATCCCAAGGTACAAGGGGCCCATGAAGCCCAGACGCTGTGCGCAGGCCATCCGCCACCTGGGTGCTGGCCCTTCCTGGAGCCCCGGGGCACTCGCTAAGGCATTGGAGGCTGCTTCTGCCTGCAGAGTTCACGGCCCACATGCCGAGAGCCAGCAGCCAGCTCCCACATCTGGATCCCGTTACTCTCACAGAACCTTTGCTGCTCTGAGAAGGATATTCTTACACCAAGTGAAAAAACAGCCTTCATTTTCTCAGGTCTTTCCAAACAGAACATGACTCTCAAGGGGCCGGAGAACATGGCAAGGCTGAAGGGTTTCTTACTCAAATGTGGCTGGTGTCTACCTCTGGGCCGAGGTGGGAAATGAGAAACAAGAATTTCAAAGGAATTCCTACTTAAGCAGGTCCCATGCACACATTTATCGTCACAGACATTTTTAAAGGAGAGAGATCCACTTAGAGTCCTGACCCTTTGCGCTCATGGAAAAGACGGTGAGATTCCCCCTTCCAAACAGCAGTGCCAGCTGGGCCAGAGGAAGCCCGGACTCTGGCCACCAGCGCCTGGATGCGTTCCGCTGCCGCACATGCCGGTTCTTCTTCCCCAAATGCCACCTCGAATGGTTAGGTTTAACGATGGTAAGTGGAATTCCTGCTCCAACCTGCAAACTCCCATCCACTTCCTTTCTTCTTCTATTAGTTCTTTCATTGTTTCCAATAAAAATTCTTAACTTGTGCCTTTCTCTAGTTGCATAAATGAATGAAATTTTCTAACCAGGCATAACTCTTACGTTAAAGAAACTTATGAAAACATTTCTCCCAGAAAAAGATCTCATCTCCTACTTTGCATTAACATTGCATGTTGTCCACTTCATCTTGGATGCATCCAAAGATACATTTGATAAACCTTGGTGTCGGGCCCATCTTCCTGCAGCCGCTTCACACTCTCTGGTTTACCAAAGACCCTTCCTTATTTAATCTGATGCGCACAATAGATCTGAGATATAAAAAGTCCGATATTGTTTTCTTTCTACAGAAGAGGAAATTAAAGCTCAGAGAAATGAAATGACTTGTCTAGGGTAACTCCGCTAATGAGTAGTAAAGTCAAGATTAAAAGTCATTTAATTCTAAGGCTAGCTCTCCCCCACCCTGCACAGCTATAACTAACCTTCTGTTGGCTGCCCAATAGGCTCTTTTTCTATTAGTTACTACAGTGGGGCCTTGACTTACGAGTTTAATTCGTTCCGAGACCGAGCTCGTTAAGGAGCTCGTTAAGGAGCTCGTTAACTCAAATTACTATATCAACTCAATGCAAAAAATCTGCCGAGAGACAGCTGGTATCTCAAAAAACTCGTTAGTCGGGACACTCGTAAGTCAAGGCCCCACTGTATTTGCTCTCTTCCCAAATTATGTGTTAGAAAGAGCAGAGTGCACAAAAATCTTATAATCAAGTTGCTGTCATCATTTCTACCATGGTTAACTGTAGCTGGCCTCCTTGCTCACCGATAATCCTAGCCTTATAACCTTCCTTTTCTAGGCGGGGAAGGGGAGTTCAGAGCCAGAATTAATTGTAGTGGAGGAGTCAAGAATCAAACCCAGGCTGAATGGAGATGAAAGGCCCAGCCATTTTATCCCTGTGAACAGACAGAAAAAAGATTCTTCTGAGATTGAAATGATCCCCCTTTCCTTGTCTCATTTAGAAAGTAAAATAACCCTGTGGGAGATCTTTATGTTTTAAAATGTATTTTCTGTTTAAATGGTTTTTTTTAATGATACTATATTCTGAAAGATATGCTGACTTGTTTATTAGGAAACAGCTTCAGGCGTGGATAGAAGTTTTCTAACTTCCAACTCTCCTAGCAGAAGCTAGCTATAGAGTTTTAGTTGCTCAAGAAAAGGGAGTTCATGCTTCAGTTCGTAAAAGATGCTAAGGCACTTAGCAGGATGGGCGCGAATCTTACGAAGGAAAAGCGACAGGAAAAAATCATTCTGATTTCAGAAAGGGGTTCACAGATTTCACTGGAGCCAGCAACTTCTTGCGGCAGTTTACTGGTGTCCCTTTTTAGGTTCTAATGTGCTTGCGGAGGTGGAAACTGAGCGCAGAAAGTGAACCCAGGTCTCTGTCAGCTAATTGAAAAGACTTTCTGTTAAATGGCTACAAAAACACTGGTTGCTGAGGAAGACAGAGAGCAGCTGTGCCGCGGGCCCAGGGCAAGGCAGGCACACGTGAGGAAGAGGCCGGGCCACCATGCCAGAGACGGGCGAACTAGAGGATTA